TCGCTGATGACGCCGCTAGCCCAACATGGCTTCCCTGCACCTGCTCTTTGGAAAGCCTTCTTTAAAGGACTCCGAGCCATTTCATGCAAAACCAACCTACCTCTTGGTGAGGACCCTGAGTTTCAAATGAGAAGGAGCTTCAGTTACTAGATGCACTCACCGTGATCCGCTGCCATTCAAAGAGTACCCAGTTGGCTGCAACTTGTGTTCTGGCAGAACATGGGAAACTGTCTCTATCTGCCTGAAGCACCCAACGCGCCTTTCTTTTTAGGTACGAGCAAAAAATGCTCCAATTACCGAGTTCTGCTCGACCCCCCGGAAAACGCTCGCCCCTAGAAAAAACGCTCGATCAAATCCCCTTCTTCCATCCGGGGGAAGGCGGGCAATTGTTACGTTTTTTTAGTTTGCACTTGTTTGCGGATATTTGAGCTCGTTTTGCGGATATTTGCGCGCTTGTTTTGCACTTTGACTTTTGCTCGCTCATTTCAGCGACCGATCATCTTGGAGGACCGGTCAGCCCGGTTTTGGGAGAAACGATCGAAGCAGGAAAAGGAGTACGTTTACCAGATTCTGGTGACGACCCTTGGCTCTGCAATATGTTTGGGCTAAGGGCAGAAATTTAGGTAACGAAGGGTGCTCCAGGTGGGGTTGAAACCCGCCGAACAAGGAGGACAAGTTCAAGGTTTCACTGATGTTGCAACACCAAGCCTTCTTTCCCGGGCATTTGCCAAAGCTCCCCAGAAACTTGGTCGCTGGAATGACCCGGCGATCCTGCCAGAGCTTCCATCGAAACCTTTACTTAGGCATCGGATTCAGATTTGAAGTATAAGTAGAAGTTGCAGTGGCGAACCGAATACCCCATATAGCTGAACACAACAGATCCACCCTCGGGTACCGGTTCTCCCCATCCCCTCGAGGACTCGAGGAGCGCCTGTTGGTGACCAGAAAGCTGAAGCGATTGCCTCAATCGCAAGTCGACCGGACATCCCGGAGATTTGCCCAGACCTTGGTGCCTTCATTGGAGGCACTTGGACCACTTTTTGGCAAAGCAAAGCCATCCTCAGGAGGTACCAAGCACCAACAAACACTCTTTGCGCGCCCGAAAGCGCTCCCTGCCCAAACAGAAAATTGAAACCCCCCTTCAACAATACAAAAAACAGATTCAATTTCAGCAGTTTTGGGAAGTGAATCGAGCATGGCTTTAGCCATGAGAAAAGAGGGCGCCCCTTTTGGTACTCGACTTTGAAGTTTAACTCGAAACGAAACAACACATGCCAGCTTGGGTAAGAGATTGCAACTCCGACATGACCAATATGGAGGATCCAGCAAGGGATAGCTGAGCCTTGGTGCTCCAGAGAACATCAGCCAAAACAGGGCACCTTTTAGGAACACCGCTAAAACGCGAGAAGAAACCCGAAAAAAGCCACAGGGCGCTATACCTGAGGTGCTTAGACCCTCCGAATTTTGGAGGCGTCCTTTGTTCCCAATATGGCAGGGGAAGCCACCAAAGGACAGCCCAAGATCCACAAGTCGAAGGCTAGCGGGGAGAAAAGGGCAACCCTCTTTTGGTACCCAAAAAACTGAAACAAGGGGAAAGCTCTCCCCCAACAGCAAAGCCCTCCTTTTGGCTGATGTTAAATGGAAACCCCGCCAAGAAGGAAAACACGACCCACTCTGGGTCGAAAGCAACCTTACGGCCTGAAGCCTCATATGAGCAGCATCCAGTGTCCCGAATTCAGGCAGTAACCTGGAACTATGACCCATAGCCTCAGCGATGGTTCCAATGCAAAAGGCAAATAATAGGAAGCAGGACTAACAGGACATATGCAACGGACAAAGTAGTTCAAACAAAAAGAAAATCTGACCCTTGGATGGCCCATGTTCTCACTCCCATGCCAAACCAACAGTAGACTACCATTTCCATTGGCAGTAATTCACTAGTTTATCGTGTCGATCGCGGCGTGCTGGCTGACCATCACAGTCATTGGCAATCGAGTGTCCTGTTACAGCAACACGGCAACACCAAACACGGGAAATTCAGAGACGCTTGTCATGAACTTCACATGGAGAAGCCTCCGGTCGCCAGTGCGAGTCCCATGTCCTACGTGCTTCCAAACATTTCCAAACATCAAGGGACCTATGCAAACAGAACATCAATTGAAAAGGTATTAAATGGCTTTCCGCCTTCCCTTCGGTCTCCAGTTGCTTCAGCCATCAAAAGGCTGTTTGCGTGCTTCAGACCAGATGTCCCCTTAAACGCTGCCCTCAAAACAGACACCCAACTAGGAGTACGTCTTACATTTACGTTTTTTCTGCGGTTTCTTTTGTGGCAGCTGAAAGTATTGCTTACTCAACTCCCAAACTCGACATGAGATAGACTTCCAGTAAGGAAAATTCATCGTCTCAAAATCGCGTGACCAATCATTGTAGCCCAAAGGCAAATATTCTGCAACCGCTTGCAGGTTCAAGCTGGTAAGCGGTTGGCCACTTGGGTCAAAAACAAAGTTAATCCCATGTAGGGGGCACTTATGAGAGGGTTCTGCCTAGGCTACTAACAACTTACCCCGTGGCCCGAATCGCCTAGGGCACAATCCAAGGGTCAATTTAAAAAGCGCTGAAATTTGTGCACGAGATACTTGGCAGCGTAGCTGTAACAGCACACTCGCAAGCTGCTCTTACCCCCATTTCCTTACTCCCACATGTCTATGCCACAATCAACACCATAAATAAGCTATGGGTGGACCCAATCATGAATATTGTATTGCGGTGCAAACTACCCTGCCGCTCAAGTCTTTGCGGCACGGTAACAGTAATTCACTTCTTGCTACCTAGTTTGACAACAACTCACTTGGGTGAATTGGCTTGAATCAGCTCGGTCGCGTGCTGCCTCTTGCGGTCAAAGGCCCCAGAACTCCTTTTGGGGAGGCGTGGAGACGTTCAGCAGCTCGAAAGGCGGCAAGCGCTGAAGGCCGAGTTGCTGTCGCTGATCTTGGCATGCGAGAACCAAGAATCTACCAAATAATCTCTACCTGGAGCCTTAAACTACACGTACACATTGGACATTTCACCAGCATTCCTTCCAATATCCAATTGGTTGAAAGCGAACAGATCAGTGACCACAAAAAACAACACACTTATTAAGTGCTTACCCATCCATATATATATATATGTATATATATGCATGTATGATATGTATATGTGTAAATGCATGTACTGTATGTACGCATGCTATGCTATGCTACGTTATGTTCTGTTAGGTACTGTGTTGTATTGTATTGCATTGTATTGCATTGTATTGTTTGTGTACGTGTGTGTACGCGGAGCGCATCTATGTAACGCAAACAGTGCACATGGCCCTGTGTGTGCCATTGTTTGAACTAAAAGCAAGCCATGACCTTCCTGTCAAAGGACCCTCAGCAACAAACCCACCATCATGGCACGATCAGAAGCTTAAATCTATTGCAAGGATGATACAATTTGCCGTAATATGTGGATTGGTGAACAAGAAGGGGCTTTCCGCTTCACTGGCCGGAGCTTGGACGCCGAATCGTGTTTGGTGCTCTGCTTTGAGTTCGCAAGGTGTAAAAGTTCATCTAAGGGTTGTTGAAAAGTGGAGGTGTGGTTGTCCTAGGTCACATGTCGGTCAGACCACTTGATGCGAAAAGCAGAGAGCAGGAAGATCCGGATTTGGATTTGGGCGAAACGGGAGTCTTCACGAAGTTTCGTTCTCAAGTTTGGGGGAGGTCTTCTAGTCAGAGATGGAATCATTGGGGCAAGAAAAGCGCCGCTCAAAACTTACACATCCAATTGGTGCTTTTGTTTGATTGACTTAGGCTACTCACAATTCCCAGCCAGACCTTGATTTGGTACTAGTTTGTGACCCCCCGCAAAGGCAAAATCAAGGACACCAGGGTCCACAATTGTGACTTGTTCTTGTTCCGCCAAGGGGAAAATGAAGCAATTCCTTGGCGTGACATAAAAACATTCAATTTATACATGTCTTTCCAATCCATTAACATAGAACATGACCTGTTTCGCCACCGGCTTGTGCAATTTTCGGGAGCATGCTTTGGACTCCTCACCAGCCTATCTCGTGTTCCTTACGACCCTAAAAAGGCCTTGTAAAGGGACCGTACTTTCCGGGCAAACCGAAAGGATGATGGGATCCAAATTCACGAAGGAAGCGGTGTATGCAACAAATGGTATGGTTTCCATACATTGCAAGTAAACCAACCATGCACCACAAAACCATGTTGAGACACAGTATCATTGGGGCGGGTCCTTGTTTCCGTACTTGCATGTATTATTCAAATTCACCGTGACCCTTCGAGTTCAATTGCTACGAAGCACGAATTCACGCATTAAAAACACTGCCCGGGCCTTCTTGAAGTTCTTCAGCGCCTGGCTGGGTTTGAGGTTGCACAAGGGTGGACATTGGGACCTTCAAAGAGCTTTGAACAATTTCCAACATTCAGGAAAGTGGACGCCGCTCGGGGCCTTTTTGAAAGGATGATGTCTACTGCCCTGACTGTTGCAAAAAGGGTATACATGTTCATTGGTTGATTGATTTCACCTCGAACCCAGGGCTGTACCCGTATATAAGTGGTTTGGATCAAGGCTTGTTTTGACGGGATTAAACCCCGAGAAAATCGCTCATGGTCCAAAGGTACAAGAGTGCATCTGGACATAGACCAACATGGTGTAGTTTTCAAATTGTGCGCGTCTGCTTTGGAGGGTACCGTGTTTTTATGTTGGTCTGTGGGGAACCAGAAGCAACACCCGCACAGTTTGGGCTCCCCAACGCCCAATTTTGACGAGTACCCACAAGAATCACCTCACCCAAGGTAGTTGGGTGCCTTTCAATTTGGCTTGAACGGGTTTAGACTACTTTTCAAATATAAAACTTGTTTGGAGGAGGCCCCAGAAGTGCCATGAAGCATTGAAGATTCAAACACGTCGCAACGAGCTGCAGGTTTCAGAGAGCCGCGGAGCGGCTGAGCTCAAATAATTGCGAGGATCTGATGGTCTGCTGCAAACTCTTCTGGCACCTGCGTGGTTTCACTGCCAGCACCCCAACTCACCACAGAGTCATTGCCCAGGATAGCAACGAAAGCACGACTGGCTGCCTGGATTTGCTTGACACCCACCAACTGCTCTCGCACCTGGCTGCTGTCCCCTCCATGTTCAGGATTGCCCCAAGTCACCACAGAGCCGTCCTCCAAAATGGCAGCAAAGGCAGTCTGAGTTGCTTGGATCTGCTGGACCCGAACCAACTGATCTTGTACCTGGCTGCTGTCACCGCCAAAGTACTCATCGCCCCAAGTCACCGCTGAGCCGTCGTCAAGAATTGCAGCAAAAGCTCTGGAAGTTGCTTGGATCAGCTGGACCCGCACCAACTGCTCTTCCACATCGCTGCTGTCACCGCCAGCAGCAGAGTCACCCCAAGTCACCACACAGCCGTTGTCCAGAATGGCTGCAAAAGCAAAAGTGGTTGCTTGCATGTGCTGGACTCGGACCAGCTGCGCTTTTACCTGACTGGCGCCACCGCCACAATGATCAGCGCCCCAAGACACCACAGAGCCATTGCCAAGAATAGCAGCAAAAGCTCCCGCAGTTGCCTGGATCTGCTTAACGCCCACCAACTGCTCTTGAACCTGGCTGCTGTCACCACCGTGGTGAGGATGCCCCCAAGTAACCACAGAGCCATCCTTTAGAATGGCAGCAAAAGCAGTCTGAGTTGCTTGGATCTGCTGGACTTGCACCAACTTGTCTTGCACCTGGCTGCTGTCACCGCCTCTGTCCGGATCGCCCCAAGTCACCACTGAGCCGTCATCCAGCACGGCAGCAAAAGCCTTGCAAGCTGCTTGGATCTGGCGGACTCGCACCAACTGCCTTCGCACCTGGCTGCTGTCACCCCCATTCCTCGCATCACCCCAAGTTACCACAGAGCTGTCGTCCAGAATGGCTGCAAAAGCATACATGGTGGCCTGGATCTGCTGGACTCGCGCCAACTGTTCTCGAACCACGCTGCTGTCGCCGCCATAGCGACGAGAACCCCAAGTCACCACGGAGCCGTCGTTTAGGATGGCGGCAAAGGCGGACTCAGTTGCTTGGATCTGTTCGACCTGCGCCAACTGATCTCGCACCTGTCTGCTGGCACCTCCCATTACCGGATTGCCCCAAGAGCGCGCTTTGCCTCCGATGATATGCAAAGCGAATGCACCTGCGTTGGAAGCTACTTTCACCGGTTGCTGCGCAATTGCAACAATAGTGTCGCCATGTTGCAAGCCCGCCTCACTCAAAGTGGACGATGAGTCGAGCATCTGACCTCCAAACGCGAGCCTCACAGGGGGTCCTGCATCCACCTGAACATCGAACCACAAATGATGGGTTCCTTTATTTTTGCCGGACAACGCTTTCTTCCGCGTCCTGTTTTAAACGCCCAAGTTGGTTCTCCCCTACTCCAAATAGCCAGACTAACAATGCAGGTATTCACCCAGGAAAACCAGCTTGTGTCAAATAGAACCTTTAAAATTCAACAAATAAGTGTTTGCAGTTGGACCTAGATAGCCAAGTTGCTGCTTTTGCAGTCACTGTTGCTGCTTTTTGGGGTAAAGTGTATGGCAACAAAAAAGCACGGGGGATCCAGAGTACTGTGGATGGACAAAATCCTGCACCACCCAAGAAACCCTAGAATGATGATCCCCCTGTAAATACCAACAAACAACTGTTTCCCATGGTTTCTTAGGTGGTGCGAATTCGATTTCGTCCATTCACAGTATGTCTTACAGGAGCCCTGCCTCAGACAGCCGCGCTCCAGGCGCCCTTGCGCCTCAGCCTCCAGCTCGCCAACACGAGCCTCCGGCGGCAAAGCCACGGAGCAGCTGAGGCCACTCGCCAGGTGCACGTGGACTTCCATGGCTGACGTCTGACGTCAGCGCACGCTCCAAAGGACTTGGCCCAAGGGGACGTTCTGGCCTCCGGTATGCTTTAAGCAACTTGGCCCATGAATGACACCTGCTTGCCCTCAGCGTGAAACTCTTAAAGCAAATGGAACAAGTTCTGGAGGGAAGCCTTTTGAGGTGGACTTTCAGGGAAACCAAAAGGAAAACCAAAATATATTCTAGGGGGTCCTCCTTATTTTTTGACGCATATCCACATGCGTCTTGTTTAGTGAGCCTCCCCTCCGCGTTTTTTGGACATTGGTGAGTTCCCATGTCCCGAAATGAATGAACTACTCAAAATCTGGATCAAATCTCACATGACACCACCAAGACTTAAGAGGCAAAGTGATCTGCCTCCCAGGTTCAGAACCAATAGCACAACTCGGGGTGATGCAAATCTGGCTTCCATGGTTCCTGAAAAGGGACATGGCACAACTGTGCGGTCCTCTTGGTTCTGGTGGCCGACATTTGGCCCAACGTTTGCCCCGGAATTCCCCGGAATTGGGTGGTCTCCCTTTCTTGGCGGCTGAAATGTGGTTTGTCCCTCACTGTCGCCCCTGAGGAAACTCATCTAAAAGCTGTCCGTCGCAGAGGCGAGCCGAGCTGTGCTCTGCCCAAAGAATCCAGTCTGAGAGCCCTACGGACGCCCGGTGACTTTCCCAGAAGCGCAGCACATTACTATTCTGAGACTGATTACTATTCTGAGATGATGCGGAACGGGGTCCAAGACAATGTTCCGTTCAAGGCGACCCTCTGGTGGGTTCCATACGGAGTAACCTTTGCTCAGCTCTTGCCACCCCAAACATGTTTGGGTATGGTCCATAGGACAAATAAATCAGCTATTTGCGGCGGGAGCACCAAAAGCAAATCACAGGCGATCATGCTTGACAATGCGATCAACATGGTGTTGGTGTAGTCACTTCCAGCCTCTGAACATCGAGCTAATGCAGGTGATGTTGGAACCGTGACATGATATTTAATTAACCTCGGAACAATCCAGAAAAGGTCGCACTATATTCGGGGAGTTCCCCTTGTAATAGATGATTCGGAGGAGGGTTCTGTGGTCAACATTATCATAAAAGAGATCCACTAGTTGAAATGAGACGCGGAATTGCAATATGTGTGCCATCCAAAAGGGTATGTTTAAACTGCTTGCCTGTTTCCTGTCAGGTTTTGCACCCGCAAGAAAGGCACGAACACCTCAGACAGTCGGCCTCCTCTAAAATGACTAGGCTGAATCAAAGTTGCAAACCAATCACATGTCTTTTGTAAGTGAAGTGAAAGGGAAACCGTCCGTTTTACCAGCTCCATGATTAGATCACCCTCCTCCCCAGCAAAGCAAACAACAAAAAAACACGGGGCATGTCCGCGAATGGCTCAACACCAAAGCCCGGCAGATGTGCCCTGCGTTGCTGCTCGTCCATGTGCATGAACTCAGCCTGCGGCATCACCTCAAAGGCAGGTTGGGGCCACCAGGGATTCAACATGCGAAAGAAAGTTGGCCACTATTCGAGTTTGGGCTAGTTCCCGAACATGGACATCAAGGGCTTGGTGCTGAGAGTCCTCATACATCCCAAATCTTTTCCAAACCAGGGAGGTTGAGTGAATAATCAGGGGTTGGGTGAGCTTCCGCGAATGACACATCAGTCACAGAAAGCTTTATAGGAAGTTAGAGAAATCATCACCAAAGGTGTGAGCAAATTCCTTGGAGAGAGTCATTGCAGTTGGCTTCTCAAAGAATCATGTCTGGTGCCCTAACTCATTTTTTGTTCACTTCCCACTATAGGCAACTAGGATATTGTACCTCTAAGATTTACATGACGGTTTCCCTTCCCCTAATCATGGACTTTTCATGATGGCTTCCCCAGCCAGGTTTTCCGTGACGGACTGCCTTTTCTTGCAGGTGCTCAGCATGGAAATGACCCCTACAACCATCCAACTGGTGGTTTCCTTTAATGAACACCCCCTATTAATAAACCCCTGTTTATTAATATGGGGGTGTTCCTGGTTTTAATTGGGATTGTTCACTTTTGGAGGGTAACACCCCCCTATTAATAAACTGGGGTTGATTAATAGGGAGTCAACATTAAGGGAATCCCCAAAATCCGCTCATTTGTTCAACACCCGCCCTCCCTCATTCCCCATGGCACGGGCCCGCGATTTCCGCGGCTGGACTGGGTTTCGTCGTGCATCGAGGCGCGCGGATGAGCTTCAGAAAGCCCAGCACGAAGTCCGGGAGCGTGAGGAAGTGGTGGCCCATGACCTGAGGCGAACAAACGAAGGAGAGGAGAGGAGCGGGGAAGGGGGGGCTTGGATCAAGTGATATATTCTTTGTGTGGCTCAAAAACGACAAATGACTTTGTAAATTGTATCTTTGCTATATAGTGGCTTACTGTGGACAAATACTAAAAATCTGCGTACCCACTTGCCCAGTTTGGACCCCATAGAAGGTGACCACCTTTTGGGGCCATCCGTCAGAAGGTCGGCCTTGAGCAAGTGAGACAAAGTAAATATACACCGAGGCCTCAAGTATCACAAGGACACCAAGGGTACCTCCTGACTATGGACTTCCATGCTGCATTACGTATGATATCAAGACTCAATTTGGTTTAACAGCCCCCCAACCCATTCCAATGATTGGGGCCCGTACGGCCCCTCGGGTTGCTAAGACCATCTCTCTCTCTCTCTCTCCCTCCCTCTCCCTCTCTCTCCCTGTCTCTCCCTCCCTCCCTCCCTCTCTCTCCCTCTCTCTCTCTCTCTCTCTCTCTCTCTCTCTCTCTCTCTCTCTCTCTCCCGCTCCTCTCTTTCTCTCTCTCTCTCTCTCTCTCTCTCGCTCTCCCTCTCCCTCTCACTGCGTCCAACCGCAGTAACCGCGTCGCGACACGTGAATGGCACTCCTGCTCCGCGGTGCCTCTCCATTCATTCCTCTAAGCTTCAGCCACCCGACCACACTTCCCTCGAAACCCAAAGACTTTGATTTCTGGTAAGGTGCTTAGACCATAGCAAGGGCAAACGCAAAAGGGGAATGAAAGAACCTAACTCCAGGGCTTTCTGCCTGGGCCCTCAATTTACCGATAAAACTTGGACATTGCCAAAGTTACGCTTGTTGATGCCGCATGTTTCAGGGTAACGCAAGTTGTCATAAGGATAGGATGTCACTGCCACATACTTGTAAGCCACATACCATACGAGATAAATGATAGGATTGGCATTCATAGCCCTGCCATTGCTCCCATCCTTGTGAATCGGTCAGAGCAGACCCACTGGAATTCTGTGAGTCGAGGGCATCTTCAGATACGGTTGGGAGGTACGGAGGTTATACACCACTTACATAACGGGCACATATTGTGATACAAGCTACTGGTTTTATGTAAGCATCCATACCTCCAAAACCCATACCTAGAAAAGCCGCTGACACTGGTTCTCATATAATTCCGCTGCAAGTGTGCAGTACATTTCAATCCTGGCTCACATGGCTCGTTCATGAGACACCCGCCCACTACCGATCTCTATAATATATTTATATATATATGTATTGCCCGCGTCAAGTCCATATACCGGTGGCTGGCAAAGCAGGTCTTGCATAGCCGCAAGGATCGCTGCAAACCAGCAATGGTTTTGTTTGCTTTCAAGAGAACCTTTTTGGATTTTGAGGTCTTTAAATCAGAACCCTTTTCACGAGCTCTGGTTTTTGGGGCCTCTGCCCTCTCCGGACTCCGGCCAGGGTTCCGGGAATTTCAGGAGATGGGCACATTCCTAGAATTAGACTTGACTTTGACGTGACACCTGGATCCACCTGAGTCCATTTCAGGGCGATATTTGCTTTGGGGTTCCCGATTGAACTACACCTCGTCACGGCTTGCAGCCAATCGTCGTCCATGTCCCGGAAGATGATCTGAGGCCGAATCACGCGAGTTTTTCTTTGGTCACATGTGAGCAGCGCCCAACACGTGTTGCCGTTTGGTTACCAAGATGGTTGTACAGGGCTACATAAAGAGGCCTTACTGGAACCATGATAAACTCAGCTAGAAGAACCTGGAATGGGCCAGTGGGGTTTTGGGCGCTGCTCATTTGAAAACGGGGGCTCGGATGTTCAACAGGAGCGTGTTTTCTGAGGCTCGGCACCCATGTCACATTGGTTTACAGGGAAATCAAAAGGAATGCAGCACGATGTTTTGGGAGTCCCGCTAGTTTTTCACGCATGGATCCTAATTCGTCGATGTCCATACTCCGTGGTGTGTCACCACAACATGGGAAATTACAATCATCTTGCCAAATTGGTTGGGTTCCTTTGAAGCCGACCCGAAAACGGGTAGCGTCATCATGTTCTTAAATCAAATTAGGGGCCCACGTTTTTGTCCCCAGGCGGAACCCAATTTGATATGCCATGCAGGTCCTGGAAGCCCATGGTTTCGGTACGCGGAAAAGAGCCAACCGGCGCTCAACTCAGATCTGTCCCCAGCAAACTCACGGAAAGCAGAGTAACCTGCACTGTGTGTGTATATGTGTGTGTGTGCGTGTCTCTGTGTGTGTGTGTGTCTCTGTGTCTGTGAGTCTGTCTGTGCGTGTGTGTTTGTGCGTGTCCGAATGTGTCAGTCGCTCATGTGTTTTGTTGGTTCTCTCTCGCTCTCTCTTTGTGAGTCTGTGTGCGGTCTGTTTATGTCAACGAACAGTGTCACCAGGTCCAGTCACTTCACATTCATCCTGAACCACTTTGCTCTTTGGTCAAGTTCCGCTGAAGGTGACCACATGTCTATACACTGAGCAGCCACAACTGGACATGCACCGAAAGGATTTCTGAGCAAAAGCTCCTACATGGACCCTATTCATTTCATTGTAGGCGCCACGACCATCTGTGACCTGAGCAAGCAAGGGAGAATTGTGCAGGAAACTCCTTTGGTCCTCAGATCCCTCCAGCCGCCAGTAACCCCTGGATACAAAAGAATCCCCCCTCAACGATTCAAAGGGACACCAGCACCACCTGGACCCTCGAACTACCTTTAAACATGGGTTAACCATCAACAATCATTTTGAGCAATTACATGATGTTGGGGAAAGTTTCTTGTCCAGGTAGTTTCCAAAATGGACAAACCTCCGACCCAGAGATGTGAAGCTTCTGATTCTGATTCCGTCTGACATGGGCCCAACTCTGGGACCTGTACTTTTCAGCTTGCTTGGTCTGCCCAAAAGCCGAACTTTTGAGGAGACGCCTGGATCTTCAACCCTGATGAAGAGGCCTTTGACTGATCCTTGAATTGAAGCCGAAGGAAATTCCAGGGCACGGAGTTTCAGGGTTGGCAGACAATTTAGGGTTCTCGATGAAAGGGACCCTGTGGGGCAACTTTACCCCTTTTTAGCACAGATGAACTTTCCAACCCTTGGTATGGTAGCAACAAACTTGTCTTTTTACAGCCCGCTACTAAAACTCAACAGAAACAAACAAATATGAACAAAACAAACATACTACAAACCTGAAAAGAGACACACAACTGAACTTAACCAACCGCACTTCAGTTTTGGGTTAGAACCGGAGGGCCCCTTCGCACCGGGCGGAAGCCCCCGGAGAGCCTCGGTGAAGTTCAGCTTGCTGCCCCCTGAGGCACTTCGCAAGCGAGCGGCCAGCATGGGTCAAGTATTTTAAATGTGCCGTCCACATTAGGTATGTATATATGTATGTATGTATGTATGTATGTATGTATGTATGTATGTATGTATGTAATATAATGTATGTAATGTAATGTAAAGTAACGAAATGTAATCTAATGTATTCTATTGCAATGTATGTGTGTATGCATGTATGCATGTATGCATGTATGCATGTATGCATGTATGTATGTATGTATGTATGTATGTATGTAATATAATGTATGTATGTATGTAATATAATGTCATGTATTGTACGTGATGTAATGTCAGTACTATAATGCATGCAGTGTACTGTATGTGATGTAAAGTAATGTAATGTGATGTAAAGTTATATAATGTAACGTAATGTAATGTAATGTATTGTATATGGTGTAATGTGAGTAAAATAATGCATGTAATGAATTGTATATGATGTAATGTATGCAATATAATGCATGTAATGTATTGTGGGTGATGTAATGTATGCAATATAATGCATGTAATGTGTTGTATGTGATGTAATGCATGTCATATAATGCATGTAATGTATTGTATGTGATGTAATACATGTAATACTGCATGTAAGGTATTGTATGTGATGTAGTGCATGTAATACGCTGCATGTAATATAGTGCATGTGATGTAATGTATGTCATATAATGTATGTAATGTATTGTGTGTGATGTAAGGTATGTAGTATAATGCATGTAATGTATTGTATGTGATGTAATGTGCGTAATATGGCGCAAGTAATGTATTGTATGTGATGTAATGTATGTAATATAATGTATGTAACGTATTGTGTGTGTGATGTAATGCATGTAATATGGTGCATGTAATATAGTGCATGTGATGTAATGTATGTATTATAATGTATGTAACGTATTGGATGTGATGTAAAGTATGTAATATAATGCATGTAATGTATTGTATGTGATGTAATGTATGTATTATGGTGCATGTAATGTATTGTATGTGATGTAATGTATGTAGTATAATGTATATAATGTATTGTGTGTGGTGTAGTGTGAGTAATAGAATGCATGTAGTGTAGTGTATGTGATGTAATGTATGTAATATAATGCATGTAATGAATTGTATATGATGTAAATGTATGCAATATAATGCATGTAATGTAATATAATGCATGTAATGTATTGTATGTGATGTAATGTATGTCATATAATCCATGTAACGTATTGTATGTGATGTAATGCATTTAATAAAATGCATGTAATGTATTGTATGTGATGTAATGCATTTAATATAATGCATGTAATGTATTGTATGTGATGTAATGTATGTAATATAATGTATGTAATGTATTGTGTGTGATGTAATGTATGTAATATACGTTGACGAATGCCCTTCTGCATAAACACCCCCCTCGATATGCGGGACAGAGTGCGGGACAAAGTGCGGGACAAACTGCCGGACAAAGTGCGGGACAAACTGCTGGACAAACAACTGTCCGGCAAGTTGTCCGGGGGCCGCGCGCACTTTGCCGAGATTTATGCTGCAAACCCCCCCTCCCGCGAGAATACTTCCCTCCGAGTGTTTCCGAGTGGTTTTGAGCGGGTTCCGAGTGGTTTCCGAGTGGTTTCCGAGCGGTTTCCGAGTGGTTTCCGAGTGGTTTCCACGTGGTTTTGGCGTGTTCCAAACCTGTCCGAAGACTTGTCCGGGGGTTTGTCCCGGGTTCTTGGGCCCTCAAACCTGTCCGGAGGGTTGTCCAGGGGTTTGTCCGGGGGTTTGTCCCGGGCTTTTGCGCCCTCAAACCTGTCCGGAGCGTTGTCCGGGGGTTTGTCCGGGGAGTTGTCCCGCCGATTTTGGGCCCTCAAAGCTGTCCGGAGGGTTGTCCGGGGGTTTGTCCGGGGGGTTGTCCGGGGTTTTAAGCCCGTTTGGACCCAAAATGTGAAAACAGGTGTTATGCAGAACCGCCTCTGTCAAAATATACTGCATGTAATGTATTGTATGTGATGAATGTATGTAATATAATGTATGTAATGTATTGTGTGTGATGTAATGCATGTAATATGGTGCATGTAATATAGTGCATGTGATGTAATGTATGTAATATAATGTATGTAATGTATTGTGTGTGATGTAATGTATGTGATATGCTGCATGTAATGTATTGTATGTAATTCAATGTATGTGATGCAATGTATGTAATATAATGCATGTAGTGTATTGTATGTGATGTACTGTATGTAATGTATGGAATGTATGGAATGTATGTAATGTATGTAATGTATGTAGTGTATGTAATGTCTGTGATGTATGTAATGTGTGTAAAGTATGCAATGTATGTACTGTATGTAATGCACGTAAAATATGGTATGGTATGGTATGGCATGATATGATATGGTATGTATCTAAGTATGTATGTGTGTATGTAGGCATGTATGTATTTATGTATGTATGTACGCACGTATGTATGTATGTATGTATGTATGTATGTATGTATGTATGTATGTATGTATGTGTGTATGTACGTATGTATGTATGTATGTACGCACGTATGTATGTATGTATGTATGTATGTATGTATGTATGTATGTATGTATGTACGCATGTACGCATGTATGTCTGTATGTGTATGTATTTATGTATGTATTGATGTTTTCATGTATGTATGTAATGTATGCATGTATGTACGTACGTATGTATGTATGTACGTACGTATGTATGAATGTACGTATGTATGTATGTATGTATGTATGTATGTATGTATGTATGGTACCCTTTCTCGAGAAGAAGAAACAAAAGGCTCTTCACCCATATCTTGTTTGCCTGCTTGTAGCTGCACGCTTGAGCGCAACCCTGATATTGATATTCGGATAGACGGATTCCATCGGACTGGGTCAGCTTGACATGAGTTCACGTAATCAACCAAAAGCATGGTCCAACTATGGACGCCTCTTGAGACCTTCTTCTGGGTTGCTCGGAATGGGGGGATCCCCAATTCCGCAACAGCAAGGGATACCACTACCACCTTGCAGAGGGATTTTTCATTTAACTTAAACACTTCCAGCTGTAAAAAGGCTGGACATGAGTGCTTCTCAAAATGGAATCCCAAAACTGGTATTGGTTTCCTTTCGGTTTCACAATATACATACCAACCAAAAGGGGATTCATTTCGAGAAACTGCCATGTTTTTCCGATCAAATCACCCTCCCCGCCCCGGCCTCCCAGCAAGCTGCTGATGGCGGGACATTGGGTGTGGAGATCTCGGAAGTCATCCAGCCTGAAATCCGAGGAGACTAAACAAGTGTGCTTTTTGCCAGACACCACGGACAAAATGCGGAACCTCAAGGGTAGCGTCCCCCCCATTTTGGCACATCCCCAAAATAGTGGCTTTTCCTTCCAGCACCCCTCCGACTACTGTTGTCATGTTATGTTCGTAACTACCGTGGATTTAGCCGTAGTTCCGAAAATGACATAAAAGCTAGTAGATCCCCGATCTACGGTTGTTTCACGCAAACAGCAAAACAACAAGCTTATATCCCTACCCCTTCCCAAGCCCACGGGGTGACACGCAAGTGACACGCAGCGACACGGTGTGACATCGGAGTGACACGCAGGTGACACGGGCTGACACGCAGGCGACACAGAGCGACACAGGGTGACACGGGGTGACACGCTAAAACTACTGTGTTCTTCGCAGCAATCTACTGGTGGCGTGGGGTGACACACAGGTGACACGGGGTGACACGAGGGCGGCACGGGGCCGACGCGCGGTGACAGGAAGGTGACACGGGGTGACACGCGGTGGCGGGTGACACGCTGCGAGGCGCTTGCTGTGCACTTGCTGCCACCCCTTGCAGTAGTTAGACTATGGGCATCCCGCAAATAACAAAAAATCACACTAGTTTTTCTAACTACGGTCTCCTAGATCCCAGACAATACCTTCGCTCTTCTGTTTGTGGGGGGGGGGGGTCGCACAAAGACAAATACAGGCTTATTGTATCTAAAAATATTGGCTTGTTGATTTGGCCACCCTTGCGTTGCCTTGAAGAAAATGTCCAATTCAGACTTTGAGCACACGTCTCCCCACAAAACTATTAGAACGAATTGCGGGGATATACCAGAATCCTGTTGTAGACCTCCAAATGCCGTTTGCGCCAGTGACCGCACGCACACGCACACAGGTTGATGACCGTCCCCACCCAGCCCGGGTGGTCCAAAGGGACCATGGCACGCATAGTGACAGGGCCAAAAAACGAAGCGCCAGCCCAAAGTGACCGGTGTCTCTGAGGGGCCACGTTCCCTTGCGTTCCCTTGAAACGTCAACCCACCTGGAGGAACCTCAGAAAACTCGGCAACCAAAAGATGAGGTTCAAAATGGCCACGGGGAACGGTGGGATCCCGCATCCCGTCGAAGATAGGCGCATATTGGCCAATGCCAATCTTAAGGGGAAACCACAAAACAGGGCTTTCATCCCAAAGCACGCTGGATTGGAACACCCCGTTTCCACCCAAGTTCTGGTACCCCCCCCCCATAAGGATCTTCGCTCTGGTACCTTCGCCATAAGGATCTTCTGTTCAGAAAATGGGTCAAGCGGTGGCTTCTGAAGAGAAGTGAAGGGAATGAGCAAATTGAAACCCAGGCCTTCAAACTGCAAATCAGCAAAATCCTGGGTGGATTCCCCCGTAGGGCTTCGTCCACTAGGATGTTATCCATGCAAATTTCCCCTGAGGCCCTGAGGGGGTTGTAGGATTCTAGGCGGCCAGTGAGAAGCCATCCCCTACCAAGGAGCGAGATGAAGCGCTCCGTGCTGTCTTGCACCAAATCCTGGCGGAGAGCCACGGGGGTTACATGTTGCTCACGTGGTCTCTTCCATAATTTATCTATGGTCGCCCATGGGACATGGGACCTATGAACTACCTTCACTCTACTTCGTTAGAAAAAAGGGCGGTGGGTGGAGAGGGACGTAGGTCATCTTTTCTGAAAATAACTATGTGCCGCTGGGGTGAGTATCCAGATGCGTATGCAACATGCATATATGTATACCGCTATGCTGGTTGAAGGCTATTTTGAAGATTGAATGCAGTTGTTTTACGTGGAATGCCCCATGCGACTTGACCAGTAGCCAGCTCACCCTAAGCAAGGAAATCCTCTTCAAAATCTAATTTGGAATAACAACTCAAACTGTGTGCTTTCGTTGAAAAGGAAATCCTATTTACTTAAAAGACAAAAAAACAACTGGAGATTCTATTATTGTTATTTCCTGATTAGATGCAAGTAAATTATAAATAGAATTTGGAGAAACAATATCCCGAGAAAGGACGCTCTCTTTAAAACATGTTTTGAACTAAGAATCCCAACTACCAATGTTCTTCAAAATGGAAAACCTACTCAAATCTTCAAGTCTAGACATTCTATTAACTTAGGTGTTGTTCCCGTTCAACTTGTATTTATGGTCCAAATGGAAAATTTAACAAATCATCATGGAAAAATACATCCTTTTGAACATCTATTTTCAGAATGTCAGACATTAAACACCTTTTGCAACACCACACAGACACTATATGAACAAAATATTCAAAGCTAGACATTCTAATAAACATATGTACTTATTAAATTATATTGAACATATGCCAACAAATCAATCCGTTCGAACATCTAGGTTCGAGTAAGAATTTGACTACACATCTAGTTCGACAGGGAGATCCTATTAAAAAATATCTTTAAACTAGAAACTCTACTAGGGTGTGTTCCTTATTAAGTTCCAGGTCAATTCTAATGAAAAAAATGAACAAACACAATCCTAGAAACAGATTCACTTTTAACTGCATCTTTCAAATCTATTTGGAGAAAATAAATTGAATTGGTGCTTTTGATGTTTAGCCCTTATTGAATACTTTGAGTTCAACGCAAATAATAACTCAAAATGCAAACACAAACACGTAGTTTTTGAACATAAGCATGTTGAAAATGGAAATCAAGCAAGAGGAAGCCAATCCGGCTTCACGGACTTGGTATCCTGGAAGCTCGCGCTGGCTCAGGCATAGGCTGGTCTTACCATCCCCCAATCATTGAAGCTGTCAGGGATGCTGGGGCTGAAAATGCTTATACCCATACATTATATGTATAATTATGTATATATATATATATCATCAGCCCCCATAGATAAGTTTAGCAATTATAGAAGGAAGGAGAGTAGCTCATGGGGGCAGCGACCATATATATAAATATATGTATGTATTCATGTATGAATTATATGTCTTTTTATCTAGCTGTTTGTTTTATTTACAGATTTGTTGTTTTGCCAATTTTTGTGTAATTTATATGGAGCATGAAAGGAACACGTTGCAACAATATTACGTATATATATATATATATGGTGCCCCCCCCCATGGATCTACCTTCCTTGAGAATTCACTGGTATGTGCAGCAAACAATGGCGCATTTCCAAAGACAATCTGAAAGCTTTAGGCCAAACTTTTCCAGTGAATCTTGAATCCAGTCGGTTTAGATCTACCTCGTTCCTATTCCCAAGCTGAGGCTTTGTCAGAAGATGCAAAACAACAGCTATGTTGGAGCCAAAGGCCCAAAAATGAAAACGCAAAGAAGTAAAGTTTAGAGCCAATGACCCAAAAGTAAAAGTAAAAGAGTAATAATTAAAAAGCAAACAAGCAAAAACGTAAACAAGTAAACAGGTAAAAAAAAAACAACAATAAAAAATCCATGGTCAAAGCTGTTTACTTCAGCACCATAGGCTGATTTGTTTTATTAAAAAAACAAAAAAAACAAACAGTTTTTACTTGTTTGTTTTTTTTTGTTTTGTACTTTACGTTTGTTTTTTTAATTGTGTTTCCTTGTTTACTTTCGGTTTTTACTTGCTTGCTTTTACTTTTTTACGTGCTTTTTTTTTGATTTCTTACTGTTGGGTCATTGGCTCCATATGGTTTTGTCTTACAAAAAAACAAAAAAACCTTTTTTTTGTTTATTCTGTGTCATTCGCTCCAGAGCTTTACGCTTTTACTTTTGGGCTATTAGCTTCATAATTTACTTGCACATTTTGACCTTTCCAAGCTGCTGGTTTGCATCTTCTGACCAGACCTGAGCTTAGAATGGAAGTCCACTTGTTTAGGGTGTAGGGTTTGGAGGTTTTTTGACTCACGTTTATTGGAATCGGACTTATTTCTCGTAATTGGTTGTTCAATGAATTTCATTGCTTTTCAAAACCCGGATCTGTTTTTTCTGGAAGTGTCCCCTAGAAGCTTGCATAAATCACTCAAGCAAGACCAGCAGCTTCATCGCCTCCCTCACAATATCACACGACCATGTGCGGCATCAGAACCTGGAGATGGGCCATTTCAATGCTCGATCTACGCGTCAAAGCCAGGCACCTTTGAATGCTTGGCTTCATGTTGGCTTCCTTTTGAAACGGACCTGCAAGGGGTCAACACTAGGGCACATAAGTTTTCGGTACTTCTTTACAAGGAGGCGCCAGGGTCCAAAAGGGGGGCCATACTTTGGATGGAAAATCATCCTGCAGTTGGGATGGATGAAACTCAACCGAGTTTCAGCCACCCACCCACTGCAGGATGTTGAGCATCCAGTGGGTTGTATGACAACTCCATGGGTTTTGACACCCCATGATTAGACTTAGGCCCAGCTTTAGCATGTATTTTCCATTGTTTGCTTTTCTTTGAGCCACTGGTAAAATGTAAAATGTATCCTAAGTCTACCCCCGACCCCCACCTTCACCTTGAGCCTTGTTAACCACCGCTTCGGCACCTCGAACATGTCGATGAGGTCCACCACTGAAATCTCCGCGGCTTCACCTCGCTGGTCTTTCCCAGCCCACAATGTGAAACAGCTTGCTACGGTGGATGCCCTGCACATACTGTGGATGGACAAAATCCTGCACCACTTGGAAACCATGGGAAACCATTGCTTATTGGAATTTACAGGGGAACCGTCATTCCAGGCATCCTTACATGGTGCAGGATTTCGTCCATCCACAGTATGTATATATGTTTGTAGGTTGCAAATAAAACACCTGTGCTCAATCACAAAACCATAACATGTTGCGGTAAATTGGAGAATTGGCTGTTGCATGTTCCTTTTGAAAGATACACTTTAAGGGGTCCGATAGAGTCCCTTTGAGTTGATGGTTTTGGGGTGTTAAACATGGGCTCCTTTGGTACCTTAGAAGGTGCTAAGGGATCCTTGGGGAAAGATTGTTGTCACAGCCAAAGCAGTCAAAGTTGCTTCAAGTTGTTTGCAAACCCAACGTGATCCAGATCCATCGCATTCCAGCGCCTTGTGGTCACAGAGTCACGGTACAGTATGCTAATGTGGGTGTTCACACTCGCTATCGCTTACCCCCCAACAACAACAAATAGCTTTAAGGTATGTTGCGAATTGAATGCATGTTGTACCTGCCCCCTCTCCCCCAGTTTTTGGGAACCTCCCCAGCCTGCCCGCCCCCAAAAGAAAGCAACAAAGGGGGACAACCTCTCAAGAAAAGCAAAACTCATCACAACCCCGGGCAGAGACCCCATAGCTTCCACCTGTTGGGGAGAAGTGAACACCTTCAGCGAACAACCTTCAACCCCCAATGCTCCACCGACGGCCACAATCGCAACCCGTCCCCCCAACACAAGCAAAATCATCACACACACACACACCCAAACAACAAAACATGCAAACAAAAAACAGCACCTCGCTCCCAACCACCTTCGACTCCCCCCCCTCAACAAACCATCGCACAGAAAAACAAGTCGCCGGCCAAAACCCCCCCTCGCGAAGCGAGGTGTCGAGGTGCGCGCGGCCGCCACTTTTCGGCGCATGTCGGTGGTCTGGCCCTCCCGCAGCGCGGAGATGAAGGTGCCCACCACCATCCTCACTCGGTGGCTCGGGCTCGCCCTAGACGCTCCCGTTCCACCGTTCCACGCCCCATGGAGACACTCGGGTTCGAGATCACCCCCATGGATTTCCAGGGAACAAACCTCGTTCGGAGTCTATGGGGCGACAAGAAGGGCTCTTTTTTTGTGGTTGGTTGATTTGAACTTGGGAAGCCCCTCAAACACAAAGGGAACGAAGGAGAGTGACCCGCTACCATTGTACTGGACTCAACTCAGGGTGCGGAACTGGACTGACCTTCTGAAAACCAAACGACATACCCTTCAAATGGAACAAAAGCATGATGTTAGGGCAACAACCACAATTTGCAGGGGTAGTTCGAAGGTCCAGGTTCCTTCTTAAGGGTATCCTGTTAACCTCTGACTCAAACCGGAGCTGGCGGAATTGTTTCTGTCCAACTTTTGGGACACTCAGAAAGAAGTCCTCACCGGGCAACTGGGGAGCTGCCATGGAATTGAACCCACAAAGGAGCTGCCTGAAAGCATCAATATAGGCTTGCAGGAGAGCAACAAGGTTTACGAATGGTTGTACCTTTTGGTTGGACCCAACAAAGCGGAAACATGAGTCACAACAGGGTGTGATAGAAGGAAACCTTTGTAAGGGGGCAAAAGCATTACTAATGTCTTACCCCTATAATTACAATAATCCTCACTAATTGTGCTTTTGGAGTTCCCCAGCACCCCATTCGAATAATATAACATAATAATTATATTTATTAATTTTGATATGCATGAACATATTTCATAATCCAGCTACTGAGTTTTCTAAAACTTTTCAGTACAGAAGTGGTTGCAATTCACAACCCTGATACCGAGCCGTTTTTGGAATCAAACTTTAGAAGCTAAACCCAAAGCGGCTGGGTTCCTCGTGTTGGATCTGAGAAAAAGGTCCAGCACGTGACCCCACTTGAAAACTTTCGGAGGTGCGCCATGGGGAGCTTTTTGAAAGCGCTGGGGACAAAACCCTCTTGAACCTCTTGGGTCAAAGTGAGAGCGGAAAAAAAAGAACCAGAATAGGGCCTTGAGATCGTGGGTCCAAGTGACAGAGGGAAACAAAAAGGAATCAGACTCTCAAGGAATTCTGAACCCTTGAGCCATGGCTACGAATTTCAATGGGAAACTCCGCAGTGGTTGGTGGAAATACATCCCCACCATGATGTCGAGCAACGGTGGCCTATTAGAAGTCAAGCTATCACTTGGGGAAACTCTGGTAAAACCATCGGGGGACTCGGCCTGGCAAAAAGCACGACACAAACCTGTTGGGGTTGCGATCCTTCTTCAAAAACCCGCCCCTCCCCAACAAAAAAAAGGTGGTTCAGAGCCCCCCCCCTCCCGGTTGGCAATACTGATGGACAAATTCAGTTTCCCTCCAGCTGCGATTGGCGGTTTGTCCCAGTGTTTGTGGTGCAATCCAGGGAATCTTCTTCAATGGGTTTTGGAGATATGGAGCTTGTAGAGCTGATGTAAAACCAATGAGAAGGTTGCAGAGTTCCAAAAGGGCGCCACGCCTCCCAACACAACTCCACCCCCGAGTTTGCGCGCTACGTCCAAGGCTCGGCCAGATCCAAACGATGCACAGGGAGCAATAGACCAAGATCAGCAAGCCGCCTGCCTGAGGCGGCCTTTTGTCCCATCAGAAGCCTTAGGAAATGGACCCCGTTTCAGCCCCAAAGAACAAACGTGGAACTGGATATAAGGTTCCGGTTGGGGATCCGGTCCAGTGAAACCCATGTTTCCTCGATTGGAGGTCCCGTTGCAATCAAGAAGCAAAATTCCTTTTACTAGGGTTCCCCTGGCCCCTCTTTGGTCGATTTAGCTATCTTGGGCCGCATAAAGTTAGTTTCCCGTGTGATGCATAGGGAACTCTGCATTTGAGTCCTATGGCTGCTGGGGCTTTTGTTGGTGTAGGATAGACGGCCTCAAGAACTTTGGGTTGGGGGTTAACCTGAATGGGATTCACTCGGTTAAGCCTTGCAAGCTGAAGGTGGCCACATGGGACTCCCTAGCCGTAGGTCAAGATTGACCAGTCACCGGCTCCAACAACAGAGTCCCACAATCCAGGTTAACACATGCGAAACACCCTCCACGTCCCGATTCTCGAACACATGTGACTGTCAGTTGGGGAGGTACCCCTTGTATACATTTAGGGAGGAGGATTGATGAGCGGTATGAAAACCCATGCCCCATGCACAAGCATCTTATATATGCAACCATGTGCATTGACAGCTTGTAAAAGGCGCTAGAGAAAATGCCTACTCGACGCAACACATAGCTCACCGTTCAACCGTTCAAAGGGTTGCCTTTAAAGGAAAACCACCAGAAAACCGTGTTTTTTTTGAAACTGGGCAACTGTGGTAGTGCAAGTGTCGGTGATTTTGAGGCTTAATCCTGAGCAAGTTGTGTGCTTGCTTTGTTGAGTGTTTGGAACTGCGATTTCTGAATCAGTCAACGGGGTCCTCTACTTTTGCTGTTTGTGACATGCTGCTAATTGCTGCTGCACATTCAAGTCAGAGAAGCTGCAATTATCTTTGCATCTTTCTTTCATTCCTGTTTGGCATTAGAGTTGAATTAGCATTCACACTGATTACTGTATGGAAAGACACGCTTGCTCTTTCTGCGATTTGCCTGGATCATATGTTGATTTGGATTTCATTGTAAACTCATACTGAGTCATACTGTGAATTAGAAAACAACATAGGCGTCCTTTCCAAGTTCTATAAATTGGGATTTACTTAATAAGAAGAAACAAACTTGGTGGTTCTTCTAATTTTCAAGCCCCTCAACAAGAGTGAAAACACCTGCAAAAACCAAATGGAACAAGCAAGTGGTATTCCAATTGGTTTGCAAGTTTTAAATTGCATGGCTTTAAGCTTAACATGGGATTCCGATTAGAATTCACTTCAAATGTTACTGTTGATTTAGTTTTAAATATTACTTCTCTTCCAAGTAGGATTTCAATTAGTCTAATTCATATGCTAAATCCGAATGTATATTTGCACCTGAAGCAGATGAGTTCAAGTAGAGTTAACTTATAATTCATATATTGAGTTAGACTTTAAACAGAAAATCCTTCCAAGTCTAAATAGGATCTCTTTTCCAAAACTTAAATAGAATGTTAAAGTCATTTGACTAGAACCTAGTACAGAATTGCAAGCTGGCTGTTTGTTCTGAGTAATTCAACAACATTTTTGTGAATCATCTTTTGAATAGGAATTAATTATTTAAACATAATCTGGTAAGGATAGACAAGCTGGTTGTTATTGATTTGCAAGTGGATCTTTAAAGTAGAATTCTATCGGACATTAAATAGAAACTCATAAGGAAACACAAACAAGCTGGTCAATTCTTCCAATTTGCCTCGACAACAAAACACAATCCCGAGAAAACAAGTGGCCCCATCATAGACACGAAAAAAACAAGAGGAAAACAAAAACAAAAACGAAAAAAAAAAAAAAAAAAGTTAAACACCGGGGAAATAAGCAACTTGAGAAACCCGAACAAACCTCGAGGACCCCGCCCTTCCCCCCACAACAAACAAACAGCGAAAAGAAAAAAAGATGTGTCCAAGACTCGTTCAACATGGGTTGTGCACCAAAGAGTTTCTAAAACATGTTTTTGGGTCGAGCTTCTTTTTGTTTCTTGATTTCCTCGAGTTTTGATGGCTTTCCTGGTTTTCTCAAGATGTTTCCTCTGTATTTGTTGGATCAAGTTGGCCCATGCGAAGACTGGAAGCCTCAAACACGCGCAACAAGCGCACTACCACAGTTGCCTGTTCTGTTGGACTTATTTTTTTCGGGGGGGGAAAGGGGGGTGGTGGGGGGGGTCCCTATTTTGACATCCCACTTGAAACAGCAAGCGCCTGGAGGATCCTTAAATCTCGAATTCGCAGAGTCTGAGTTTGTCTCGTGATCCTTCAAGCCAATCACCGAGAAAGGACCAACTCCCGTGCTGTGTGCTCGGTACCCGCCAGTGTGGGATTTATCAAGAAACAGGGAAGCGGAAGTACATTTCGAGGGGTGAGCCATACCCATGTTGTCTTTTTGAGGGGTCCTCTGACCAATAAGGTCCACCAAATTAATCCGAAGTTGACAGCTTGTTTGCTGCGTGAAAAGGAACGCGCTGGCACCATTGCCTAAAGAGGCCGATAGTTTCCCCAGTACCTTCAAACTACCCATACAATAAGTTAATGGCCCAAAGTTCTGGGTTTGAGGGTCCAGGCACGTGCCAAAGCTCAAAAGCCCCAAGCGAGGATCGCAAGCAAGGGGCGTTCATTCGCGTGTTCTCAACGACCAGCAGCTTCCAAATGATGCCAGGGCCCCAATACAAGAGCCGCCTTAGGTGCAGGACTCCTGGGTCCTGCGTCCTACTGTGGAAGGACGAAATCCTGACCCGCTTGGAACCTATGGGAAACCAGTCTTTCTTGGTATTTACAGGGAAATCATCATTCGAGGGTGTCTTTGGTGGTGCAGGGTTTTGTCCACCCACAGTATGGGGTGGTGGGACCCCTCGAATGGAGGCACAAACATTTTGTTCCTCTTAGTAACCTCTGTCTGTCAGGGGCCATGTTGGGGAGAGGGTGCCAGCTTTAAGGGTTGATTCCCTTGTTCTCTTCGCCCATCAGTCTCTTCAGGACCTATCCGAGTCCAAAACACATGCAGCAAAGCTATTCCCAACGCACACATTGGGTGGCACCTCTGGGGTTCCTTTTGCTTCCGCTTCAAACTCGCACAGAGCCTGTGCGCTTCCAGGCTTGTTGGGAGGGTGTGTAAAGAGGCTTCTCATAGTGACTCAAGGCTATGCAATTTCATGGCATAAATCAAATTATTCTTTCCACTTGCGGGACTAAAGTTCCATCATTCCTAAATCCGGAATAAAGGAACCCCCCCCCAGTATATCCTTTAGGGTGCTTCCCCTAGCGTCAACACCTCAGAAACCATCCTCAAAGAATACAAAAGGACCCTTGAGGCCTTGGGGTACAGACAAGTGGGTCGAATCACGCCTCGAATTCAGCCAAGGCACAGAGGAATCCTCAGCCCATTGACACAACGAAGATGTTTTAGCGGGTTGAGTTCTACGAGCATGGAGAGGGAGATGGCATGTAAACACTGTAGAGATCCGAAAAGACAAGTTGTACAATTGAAAACTGTAAAGATCCCCGGAAGAAAAGCTTGAGACAAGAAGCAACCCGTTCAACTTGATTGACACATCTTGTCTCCAGCCACGCTACAGTTAGGGGTAGGATAATTTGTGGAAGGGTTGCCTTCAAGAGGCTTTGCGGCACGGCTGCGCGCAGTGGCTTCGCAGCCGCAGGGCCGCGAAAGGCTTGTCAGAACACGATGCATGGCACAAGTTCCTTCGTGGACCTGTTGGGAGTTCCCCCACAGCTAAAATCCCTCATCTGAAAAACACGTGCTGCACCTGTGGATGACATACACAGCAAAGGGATGATAGGAATACTTTTGGCCTACAGTAAATTTGTCTTCCTGCGGAGAAATGAACATGATGTCAAAGCCCCATCACAAATTCCCCTCCCCCAACCTCACTCACCCCAACCTCCGCTCACCTGAACAACCTGAACAACCCAACCACGTGGGGGAATTCATGCGTATGTTTTGGGGGGTTGAGAAGCCTGGTTGGAGAAAAGCTGGTTGCTATATTGTCTCATCGAGGAACACGCAGAAAACGTGGCCGCCATGTTCGCCATTGTTTCCTCCACGACCAACCAACACAACCCATTTTCGCTCAAGCCGCAAGCCAGAAAGCCATGCTTACTTGGTACCCCCCAAACAAATGGCAAGTTTTTCAAACGTTGGTTCCCGCCCCCCCCCCCCCCCAAAGCAACCAAAACAGCGGTCATCCTAAGAGGGCAATCCAATCTTCAGCACGCACCCAGGATCCAGACTCGATCCTTCACCTCTAAAGGGTCAGGTCCAAAGATACGAATCTGGCGGCGTTTCTTTGGGGAAACCACATTAGGCCGTTAAGCAATGGCTGGTTTCTTCTACTCCTAAGTCACTGCCCCTTAAGACCACTACTTAGCCGTCAGGCACATGTACCCGGTCTTTTCTGCGGGGAGTGGCGGGTTTCTCGTCCTCGCTGGGCAAAAGGCAAAAGCAGTTCGCTTCCGACAGGTTTACCGTCTGAGGGGCCAAGGTCATACCAAACTGGGCTACCCTCAGATCCCCCACGAGAAGTTTAACTTGTAGTGGGTAAAATGGCAACTACCACGAAACAATAAAAGGCTAAAAAGCTAACGAGATGGCTGGGAGCCACCAAGCAAAGACTATCCATGGTACGGGATAGGTACAACATGCTTGGTCAGGGGCACTGGAAGGCCTGCAAAAAAGCAAGCCTCCTTTTGCCTCCCCAAGCAGTCCCGGCGGTGCGTCCTGCAAAGTATCCGGAGCCTTGCCTCACTCTAGGAGCCTGTATGGGACCGTAACTAACATTAGGTGAGTGAGGAAAACGAAATACCTCAAAAGGCCACAACTTGATCAATCCTTCTTGTGATATTCTGACTTACTAAATCAAGTTCATGAATGTAAAGGTGTAAATGTGTAATCTAGCACGCCTATGCTGTTGTCGGCATTCGGCTCGCCTGACTGGAAGCCGTCGCCTAACACATGTCCTTTGGGAACGTCGATTACGAGGAATTCCAGAGTCATGTTCTCTGCACCATATATATATATATACATGTATCTATACATACATCTATGTATAAACCCAACACACGCGCACACACATATACATGCATGGGCATGAGTGGGTATATATATATATATATACATACACTATGATCACCTTCGTGTTGTCCATTCCCCCGATGTAGAATCCATTTCCCAATGGGCAGCAAACCAAGGAGCAGGTTGATCACCAGCAGAGACCCACCCAGTCCGCTCACCAATTGCTCCTTCGAGGCACGTAAGAGCTCTCTGATACGACTTGGCTGCGGCTAGCTGTAGCTGCCAAAACCCTTCCACATGCTCGCTTCAAAACCAATTGGCTCGTGCTTTCAATCTCTCGAAGCGAGATCTTGATGGGATCCGAATAGTTTTACAGTGCAATAACAGTTACGCACCACCAGTCCTTGGTTTGATGTTGTCTTAGCGACTGTGCTTTGTCATCTGCTGAATCTCACCACAACCTTCTACACGACATTGGCTTTCTGTTGCGTGTTTCCCTGCTGGTAATGGAAGCCCAGGATCTATGAAGCCCTGGTTGATCCACAGGTCGTTGTTGATTGATTTTGGGAGGGAGGCCCACCTTTGAACCCCCTCAACCAATTAATCCGCAAGGTTCATGAATCCGAGGTTGCGTTCAAAGAGGCTATCAGCCGGGCAAACGTGTTGGCAGTCTTGGGACGAGATTATCATCGTTCAGGGATGCAAGGTGTTAGTGCTAGGTGTCCAATAGGGCGCGTGGATAAGAAAACAAATACACATCCCCTGGTGGCTTCCTTTGTTGGATGATCGACACAATATGATTATGTGTGTGTATGACTGTGTATGTTAGATGTTGAACGTGATCAAAGATTGAAAGCGGCCGAGAATCTGGCATTTCTGAGGCCCGAGTTGAATAGCTCTGCGCAAGAAAACCACATGTCTACTGCCGTGTCTCTTGTGAGGGACATTCAACCATTTTAGGAGCCCCTAGTTTAAAACACACACCCGTTTAGTTGGTTCCAACAACCCGCACGCGGCCTCACTCAAAGAAAGACTTCAAGCAGCATGCGTTCTACTTGGTCTCAATATGACGGGAATAGCCAAATGGGTGGTTTCCATTTGGATTACCTTTTATTCTCACAAACATCCAACAAACAAGGCGCACTTCTAGACCACTTTAGACAACTTGGTCCACGATCTGCCACTGAAAGACCAGCCGTACGCCGGTTTGAGACAACCTCTGTACGCTCAAGCTACCCTGAAAGTGGGGTCATTGCCTCAAATGATGAGTGACTTGCCATGGACAAGGCCCCCTATAATCTCCCCCCGTTTTGCGAAGACGTTTAAGGACTCCCCAAGTTTGAGCACCCCAAACAAATGATGGCAGTTTGAGTTTTACCTCCGGAAAAAAAAAAAAGGCCCCCCACCCCCCCCCCCCCAGCCCCCCCCCAGCCCGGGAGACGACCCTATAGGCTATGCCGCCAGGCCACGGCCGTTTGCGGCTGCGAGGAGCCTGCGGATCGAGACATCGGCCGATCCGATCCCGCCCGAAAATTTTAGCTCATGCTTAGGGGTACCATGCCATCCGACGTGGAGAGGCCATGGAAGAGGCGTTGCAACATACACCAACGAAGCTGGGTATTTGGGCTGTGGGGGGAAGTTGTTGCTTATTTTAGTCTTCCCTTTTGAGGTGTGGCGAGGGTGGGGGGTGTATTGGGAGTTCCTGTGGCCTACATCATGATGCCGCTGAACGGGTACTTGAAACACGACCATGATCAAGGAGCAAAATGTTGGAACTGATCTAGCCCCTCTCTCGGAATAAGAGCTCACCCATGAAGGTCATGTAGGGACCTCAGCTAAATTCCATAGCAAGCGATGTCAGAGCCAACAGGAGGTTCCAACCCCACAACAGGGCCGCCCAAGTCGCGACATCTCAACGGAAAAATCAGGGGACCAACAATCCCCGCACTCCGGGGTCGCTAATTCGGTGACCCATTCAAAAGGTTCCAACAAATCAGAGGCAGACAACAACTTGAGGCTCTTGTGCAGCAATCGGAACCCTTTCATTCGAACTAATCAAATAAGTCCCTGAGCACTCGCTTAGGAGGTACTGGGATTTTCCGGGCAGTGTTGGGCTGCCTTGGAATTTGAACGACCCAGCTGAAGAATCGAATTACCATCTTTAAGCTGCGCTCCACCGCAGCTCTTTGGAGTTGGTACGCTTTGTGAGGTGCTTTGAAAGGGAAAGGGAAAGCAGAAAACACCGAAGCCCATATTGGGGCAAGCCAGAAAATATTCTGCGTGGGGGATTGAAAGTTTGCATCGAAATGAGCAGAGCCACAATAAATTGTGTTCCTCTCGTGTTCAATTCTTTAACTCGAATGCAAGAAAGGGTACCGTCAAAACACAACATGTAGTTCAATTCCCGCTTGAAATCTCGCAAAATGGGGTACCTGGGCTAAACTGACCAGTGCTTACCTGAACCGATCTGGTCGCCGAAAGGGGCTTAACACCGTTCTTTTCGCGATTGGCGCGGACAACAGAAGCACATCCCGTAAACAACAAAAATAGGTGCTTGCCTGCAAGCCATTTCCCTCAAACATATTTATACCCCACATGTACCGACCATAGGAACACATATCCACGCATATACGGCTCCTAGGCCCCTAGACTAAAGGGTAGGAAGCTCTGGCTGATACTTGCTTGGGCCGGTGCAGGTGGGACATGAAAATCGCTGTTCCAGTTGCTGTTGAGGGAACACCAATGGAAACCACCCATCCATCTTCTTGGTTCATACCCTACTGAAAGAGAAACCCAATTCAATTTGACATCTGCTCTGGGATCCCATCTCTTGTCCGTGCTGCCAAACCTTGGACGTACCATGAGTAAACCACCAGCGAGACGCGGCTGAGTTGGGACTAGTCCCAAGTCAAACCTCATGCTGTTCTGGTGGCCGGACTACCACGCGTTTTTGTTGGCTTTCTCAGCTGGGGGTTTCAGCAGAAGTTTTCAAACCACATATTCGTTGGGCTTCAATTAGGGAAGCTATCCTGTTGAGGCGGGAAGCCTAGGGAAACCCAGCACTTTGGGGTGTCCATATATCGAGCTTGGTGGTCTGGGGGTTTGAACCCCAGTTCCTTAAGCAGAAGGATACCACTCCCCCGCCTGCCACGATGGCTTGCAACAGAGGATCCTCGCGCGTGTCAAACCCGGAGGGCTTGGGTCAAAACCAGGATCTACTTTCCTCCGGGGACCTCACTGACTAACAAGAAACACACCTTGGGCGCCTTTGAGAGGCTTAAATTAGAAAACCGCTAGTTGTTTCGCAAGAACCAGCACCTCAACAGAAAGTGTAGCTGAGTTCGACAACATGGAACATTAAATGTAATTACTTAACCATGGTTTCGCTCTCACAGTACAATTTCACCGCGAGCCTCCAAACTGCGCGGTTCAAGCTGCTGCAAAGTAGTAGACAGCAGATCATCTTTAGGGTCAGTCGGACTCCCAGACCCGCGTAGATCCATCTCGTGCCCCCAATGTGTTTGTGTGTGGGTCACGAATTCTCCCCATATTTTCTGAAAATGTCCCCATGCCCCCCCTGACTGACCCCCCATAAACGAAGTGGCTTGGTTTCCCAATCAAAACGCTTCCTTTTGCCCCGACAAACCCAAGGATGCAGCCCGAGGCTTGTCTGGAGCCCTCTGCAGCGCCACTAGGATTGATTCGCTACTCCAAGCCTATTGCTGTTGAAGAACATCGACAGGACAATGGGATCCATCGAATTTTCCAAAGAAACACCAAGATCACACCCTTGCGATGGACCGGAGAAAAAGTGAAAAGGACAGAGTCAGGTCCCATGTTAATTGCTGTGAGTGTATGTGTCTCATCGTGGCTGCCAACCAACATGTCGAGGTTCCCTTCGATCTCCCCGTAAACCAACCCAAAAAGCGGGGTCGGTTAGATAACCCCCCTCAAAAAAAAAAAAAAAAAAAAACGCCGAGGACCGCAGGCCTGAATCTCAGGAATCTGTGCAAGGCCCTCCGCGCCGATGATGACCTGAGCTTCAAGGGATTCAGGGTACTGGGTTTCTCGATGCCAACGAGCAAGAGGCCTAGCAACAAGGTCGAACTTTTTGCAGGTTTATTGCAAAAGCCATGTCCTGTCCTAAAGGCGCAAAACGGGATCCCCTGTTTTTGGTCACACCATAAACCTTCAGATGGCCGGGCTGGGGGTTTGCCCCCCAACTGGAACCTACCAATTTAGACCCTGGTAAAAGGGATGTGTGCAGCGGATCCTGGTGGCATTGCAAAAAACCTCCCGTCCACTAATATAAAGCCTCACCTTTCGGGGTCCTGGAAGACTACTTTCCTCTTAAGGGACCCTCTGCTGGGCTCCATGTTGGTGGATACAAGAGTAGTTGCACACATGCTTCGCTTATGAGCTTGACGTCATTTGGAATGAAAACATATCCACAACCTCATTCTGATTGCATATGCCCTAGTACCATTTGGTGGGTTGGTTTAAAAGGCAACAGGGGAATCGCGTTTTCGGGGTGCCCACATTTTGACACGTACCATGTGTTTGTGTTGGTGTTCGACACAACAAACATGCCTTCAATTTGATGGTTGGAAACTGAAAGACAGACGACACAACAACAACAAAAACTCACATCTTCCCCCCCCCCAACAAGAAACAAAAGCAAACATGGTACCTCCCGGGAGGTTGGGTTTTCAAAACAGATTTCAATGAGGCAATTAGGTGTTCAGGCGGTGTTCAATATAATTATTATTCCAAAATAAACAATTTTTACCTGATGTCCTTTCCCAGGATGACTTCTTCAATCTTCTAATATCTGCTAATTCTGAATTGAATAGAATAGATAGCATCTTATTTGTCAAAGTTGATTTCAAATATAATTTAGTTGGAATTATTTTTTTCACCTGGTGGTGTCATTTCCCCGGAGGCGTTTTCGTGTCTCTGTGAATGAGACATTAAATAGACTTTAACCAGGAACAAATTCTGGTAGAATGTCTGATTTCAGCTAGAATTGAACAAGGGTATCCTGTTTAAAGGTGATTTCAATGAACTGTCAAATACGGTTGCTAATTGCAAATTAGATTGTCACGCTGGGATTCCTTTCCCAAGCGGATTCTGAAATTTGTCATCTAACCTTAGATGGATTTTTCCACGAAAATATTGTGGTAGACGGTTTAGGTCCAATTACAATTCAATCGGGCTCTCTTGCTTAAAGAGGATTTCAACCAGGTTTAACTAGACACATTATTTCAAACTAGAGTTCAAAGGGATTTCCTTTCCCACGTGGATTGCTCAATCTTGTAATCAAAATTCAAATGGGAATTCACAAGAAGATAATTATAGTAGAGTTTCTAATATCAATTCGAATTGCAGTATGATGTCCTGTTTAAATCGGAGCTTGCCCTTTGAAAAACTTAAGGGGGTGGGCAAAACCGCCCAAAAGCAGCAACCCTGATCATTGGACCCTCCTTTAAAGTCCGGATCTCCATTGGAAGGTTTTGGACCTAAGAATTGCCCGTTTTCAGGACCCAGGATGCTGAGTGACAAGGCACGTCCGATCCCGAGTCTGGGATTCGTAACCCCTCGTCTCCATCTCCGCGAGTACAGGCCAAGGCACAGTCACGATGACTGCAGCACACCAGCCCATGACGCCTGAGGACTTGGGTTTGCAGCTCCGTGCTGAACCCCAGTTCGCAAGTCCCTTACTCGGTTGTGTAAGCACAACTCAGGGGCTTGGATGAGGGATAGCCACTCACTGTCATCCAAGTGTCAGACTGAAGACTCAAAATCCGCCGGATTCCCTTGAAACTCAAAAAAAACAAAAGGCACCCTCAAAAGCGAGGGTTGCCACGCCCATGCCCTCGCAAATGGACTTGATAGCAGGCCAAATGAGTGCAGTGATCTTATGCGGATGGGAATCCCAAAGTGGGTGGGGTTCCATTTCGCTTCCCACTACAATCCAAAGGCTTTGGGCCAACTGGGAAAAGGCACCAACCTCAAGATCCTACAGGAACCTTCATGAGGTCGTGCAACCGCCAGAAATGGTTCCCACCATATTTTTGTTGAGGCCTAGAGACATTCAAGCCGGGAGTTCCGAACGTGAAGTGGATGGTCCCTGAATCCTCCCCTGAGAAGTAGACTTCCATGAGAAGCTTGTTTGGTCCAGTTGTGTGGGCTACTAATATTCCTTCAGGTTTAACTCTTAAGCATACTAATTTTCCTCCTTTTTCTGGGGGGGGAATAAATAATATTCTTGGGGTTGTTTTGAACGGACGATATAGAGGAAAGGCTTTCGTAGACAAACCCAGACGCACCCCGCACCCTCGCAGCTCCCGGATCGCCAAGGGGCTCCAAAAGCCGAACCTCGGCTTTGCGGAAAACATGGGCGTGGCTTTCAGGGAACACGGGCCTGTCTTTTTGCAAGGGTAATTGTTTTGGGTGGCTTTGAAGGGAAACCAGAAGGAAAACTGCCACCCCTCAAAACAAGACACCCCACATAGGTGTTGCTGCTTTCGCGTTTTTCTTGAGGGCATATATACCCGCTTTTAGGAGTTGCCTTTGGAAGCCAAAGCAAGCCATCGATTCTTTTGGGGAGACTCGCCCCGAGGACTCAGTTGAATCAGCTTTGCATGTGTGGCGAACCCCCAGCTGGAGACAGCTAAGACATGAGATCCTTCCTCAGTGGAACAACTCCTCAAGTCGAGTCCACCGGCCAGCCAAGATGCAGCGGTGTGCCTGTAAAATATTGAACTGCCCGCTTTACGTGCGGCCTCCCTTTGGCTTCCCTTGACAAGCCGCCGATGGGCTTGCTCAAGCCCACTTCTCATTTGGACACTAGGCGGCTCAAGGACACGGAAGTTTGCAACCGATTCCTTCCCAGTTGCAACCAGTGTCCCGACAACAACCACAACAGACACCAAACAACATCCCGCAAAACCAACAGGAGCCAGGGGGTTGCAACCGCTAGGCGGTACGATCCCGGAATGGGAAAACCAGGCTTGGTCGACAAACCACGCAAAGGGCACACGATCTGAGCCCAATGGCGCGGCCACGGGCCATTTTTTCTGGATGCAAAGGCCCCGGCATCCACAACAAGCGGACGGAGGTCTCCGCAGCCACGTTGGCGATCAGCGGGAAGCTCCTGATGGGGAAGTTGGGGTTGGCCGGCAGAAAGCTCGAAATGCCCCCGGAGCCCCAAATTAGCCTTGGACATTTGAAAAGACGCGCCATAAGTCTGGGGCAAAAGCCCATTGTTATGGGCAGTTGCAAGCAGCTTGTTGTGGGTCAGTTCGGGATTCGAAGGAAATGCAATGAAACCTGCCATTCAAAAGGCCCTCAAGTTTTTGGACAAGCCAGGTAGTCCAAAATCAGGCCACTTACCAGGAAGTCCACCTGACAAACCATGCTGAATTGGTGCACCGCCGATTGACTATGGGTAGAACTAGCATCTCATCGATGGACAGTGCTTCGAACATCAGAAGCGGGCTCCCCATTTGAAACCTTCCCCGGAGGGCAAAACCCACGAACTCTTGAATCGGGTACCCAGCGTTTTCTAGGGTAATTATGCTAACCCCTGACTGAAGAAGGAGGTCACCATCATCGAGAACCTGGTTTTACAAAGTATATCCTAGTCAAAGGGCTAACTATTTGGAGCAGGGGAGGGGTTGGTCTGCGATCCCCTCCAAGAAAATACACTTGTTGAAAGTTAGCAGGGTAAAAGATCAAACAATACAAAATTGGGAGTGGGAGGAGGGTCCTGAAAATGAAGGCTCCAATTCCTGCCACTTACCATATGATTGGGAGGGTGGCATATCAGGGACCCATGTTGGGCGAGAGCGGCCATCCCCTTTTGCGTCCTTTGCAAGAAGAGAGTTCTGGCAAACGTAATATTGTATATATATATATATATATACTTGTATATATATATATAATATCAGTTGATCGCCAAACTCATATGCCACCCTGTGCTTCCAGTTACCACTACTTGTAGGTAGGTAGCCAGGGATTCTTACCTTAGAGCCTCAGAGTTGTATATCACTGGGTTTTCCTGGTGACCTGTATAGTGGCTTGGAAGCAACAACTGACCGTGGGCTTGAAGAAATCACATAGACAGGGAACTTAGGAATACGGGTCTGGAATTCCCAAGCCCCCTAAAAGCGGCATCCTTTTGGGAATATTTGACAAAGTACTACTTAGAACCCGCATGTTCCGTGGGATCCTTCCGTGGACATCATTTCGTTAAGGACTTTCGTCCACCACCCTTCAGGGAACCGCTTCCCTCTCAGCCCAATAAATTCGCATCGGACATGTTTTAACAGTGTAAGCAAAAACAAAACGCCGGGTCCTCAGAAACCAAATAAAACAGTTAGCCAACGTGCATATGTTCCCACCTCGTCTTCGGCCTCGTTTTCCGGGACCATTTTCAGGTGGATTCCGAGGACACTGAATGGACAACTGGAACAAACACACAAAACAAGCAAACGCATTCAAAATCCCAACATGAAGCCAAATCAACGGTTGCCAGGGCTGTTCAAAAGGAAATCTCCAAATTTTGGGGGTTAAGCTGGAAAACGAAACCAAAACGTGGAAAACACAACATGGCGAAGTGGGGATGCAATCACTGGCAAAGCTTGTGGGTCTGTTTTTGCTGGGTGCCCTTTACTTGGCTGTGTCAAAGGAAAACCACAGGAAAACCAACATGCAACTCTGTTCACTGGAAGAGGCACAACTGTTAACCCCCCCCCACGCGGGATAGAAATCGCTCTTCCTTCGGACAGGCTACCAACTGACGGAATGCAAGCTACAGGCTGTCATGCAAGGTCCAACTGAACTGGCTGTCATTCAGAGGATAACAGGGATCCTTACATTATACACCTAAAAACATGGCCTTGTAAATGGTGGTTTCCCTTTATTTTGGTGGAAAAAGCCATGTTTCAAATGGAAAGAAGGAATCTTGTAAGGAGCCCTGGACAAGCTTAAAGCTTCCTCCATTGATACAGTGTAGCTGCCGCATTTGCACCGCACACGAAATCCCTGCCCGCCTTATGGCGCTCAGGGTCCTGAGTCGCCGACTTCCGGTTTCTCGAGGCTTCCCCCGCCACAAGACGGGGAAACGACGAGGCTGGATCCGGTCGATTCGCTTTGGGCGGCGAGGATATGGGTCATGGTTCTCAAGCAAGCTTGACAGTGTCTCAACAAAAAAGAGGTTCATAGTGCTCATATAAAGAGGTTGAGCATCCCTAGCAGCGGTTGCCGAACCCTGGCAGCCGCCCTCAAGCTCTCAACACGAGGTCAAACCGGGCCGGCGTTGGTTCGTCTCCGCATAGGATATGGACCCCAACCTGTGATCTGTTCTTTTGGTCCTGCCACTGAAAACAGCTTATACAAAGGGAACCTTAAAAACAAAGCGCTTCAACCACCCTTTCAACAAAGGTTCGGCATGCATGGGCAGTCGCTTCAGCCTAAGTAAGATCATCCAATATCGCTCTTGGCTCACTGCAAGACACAATCCTCTGGGTTAAGACTTGCCTTTCAACCAGTCGCTAGTTGGCGGGATTGATTCGGCCGCCCAGGGTGCGACCTAACCGACTTGTCCGCCATCCCTTCAACGGCATCTTGGCAACTCGTCGTGTTTCGTCCTGTTTGCAACCAATCCTCTCATAGTACCCTGCAAGTAGCGAACTAGACCAGCTGCTTGTCATGCTACATGGAGTGCGGCGGGTTTGCTGGGTTTTGCTGGTGGGTTTACTTGTGTACTGAAACATCAACCGGGAAGCAACTGCCTTGGTAAAAGCAGGGCACCCTGGTTTTGGGTGGTTGAGAAAACGAAATTTACTCCCAAAAGACAGAAACCGCAACCCAGACTTCACTAGTAGCGGCGAACTTGTGGCTGGTGTACCTGCTTTCTGCTTCAGGAATCCGCGCTCGCCAACTACCCAGGCAAAAGTGAAAGATACTCCCAATGGCGAAAAAAAAACGAGGGGTGAGAACAAGGGCTATAAACCAAGGGCTACCCTCCTTTCAACAATACTGTGGATGGACAAAGTCCAGTTCGCACCACTTGGAAACCATTTGAAACCATTGCTCATTCCTTCGAGAGATTCTTAGGTGGTGCAGATTTCGTTCATCCACAGTAGTGGACAGGTGACCTCCCGCAAAGGAAAGCAGCCTTCCAGAAACCTCCGATTGCGGAATCGGAGGCCAAACATGAGGCTGGTTGGGCTTTTCTTCAAATGGGGCTTTCGAACCCACCTGGTCGGGCACTTGTTCACTCTCTTAAACGGCCCCAACTGATCCTTGTGGGGGCGGAGGGCATCACAAGGTCGCCCCGAAACTGTGGGCCCTTTTCGGCTTCCCTCGAAACAAGTCTCACAAACGTGTCACCAACCAATTCTATGTATGCATTGACCAATATCACAATACAAGCAATGACATGGGGGAACAAAAGTACGCACAATCAAACGAACAATACAACCAAGCATATATGAAACTTACCAAACAGTAGACTGCCCGCGTGAACGTGTCGCAACCGCGGATTGCAAGCCACGCGTTGCCCACGACCCCACAGCGGCCGAGGCAACCGTCGCTTCGGGGGCCAGGCGTAAGGATGCGCCCCACGCGCAAGATCCGCAGCAGGCGCATGGCTCGAGTGCTCCTGCCGTCAAGGCCCCATAAGGACCCAAGTACGACCCGAGTGTGGCCAAGGCAAACCCCGCAAAATGGCTTCGGTGTTGTGTAAAGGGCAGCCTCAACAAAAAGCTACCCTTTATAGTGGTTGACACCATCAACCATTTTGGGGCAACCAGGTACAGACAAGACCTCGGTGGCCACAGTACTATAAGGCCCTAAAAGAAATCGTATGGGGTTGCGGGGCACTGCCCCTGAAATCTGAAGTTGTCCTTGGCGGCTGCGCGTGTTTTGTGGCTGTTCTTGCAAAAAGCCGGTGTTCACGTGTGTTGCTTCAAGAACAAGCGTGAAAGTGATTGCCCGGTCATGTGCATGTTGGTTAAAGACACCCCGAAAAGTACGTCAAAGGTCAAACACCTCATCATTTGAGTTTGACAATCAGTGGAAACAGAAAGAAACAACGGCTCAGTCAAGTGTTGCTCAAGGAATAGATGATCAACGATATGGGTGGTCCAACGGACATCGTCACAGCTATGGGTGGCTTGCCCAAAAAGTCAACCGCCAGGGGGCCTATTCACCCGACATTCCCGGACCTTGCAGCGCGGTGTTTCATGAGGATTTTGGATGTGCCTTCCATCTCCTGACAATACAACAATAGGCTACCGCAGCTTGTGTTAGCTTCTGGGCACTTGACAAAGCAGTGACTGTACGAGCAGCTTGCTTGTCTACCACAACTAGTCCAGAGACATCCGTCAGCACACCATGTAACAAACATGCCACGCCTGTTGACAAGTTCATTAGAGGGTGGGGATCCCGTAGGGGCCCTTTGATTATGGCATACCGACAGCTTCAGCCATGAGTGCATCTCAGATCCGATCAAGACACGAGCTGCGCACATTTGGTCGACATAGATATGGTGCGTCACCCAATTCCTGATGGGGTTCCACGTCAAACACACTTCAACACAAATGTCACTCAAACATGAGCTGCCACATGAAAGCGATCAAAGCTGGAGTGCAAAAAAAGTCGCAGTACCGACTATTCACAACCACTATCACCCCCAACACCCTATCTATACCCGGTAGATTGAACAAAGGGGTGCCTGTCCCAAACAGGATGCAGCAAACATGCCAGGGCGAATGTGGGTGGACATGGAATTACCAACTCCCCAGTCACATGGTTGCTTCTTATGCATCGAAAAAGGTCAAGACACAGGGCTTTGGTTGGACGGATCGGTCTGGACATGTTGCCAATACCCGTACCCAATTCGGTGCTTAATTACATAGGGGAACCCCTTGAGACGCCCGTTTTGAGCTCTAAAGCCTTCCAATGAAAGTCCTGACCGGTTCAAAGGAGGGGCTTAGGGTGCTAGACAAAATCCACTTCACACCAGTAGGTGAAACATATCCCAGTATTCCTGGTATCATTCATCCCAACAAGATTTTGCCCATTCACGGAGCCATTGCGGAAAAAATGAACAGTGGCAATCGCCAACTTGCTGCCGTGTTGCTCGAGCTTTGATGGCTATTGGATTCTCTGTACAACCAAAAGGTGGCCCTCAACTTTTGGAAGCACACCATGAATCCCCAAGCCGGGCGGCTGGG